GGTGCGATTGGCACAGGACAGAGCGGAGTTTAGGGATGTTGTACATAGGGTCGCTATGAGTCGCAGGCGACTCGACGGTACATAACAACAACAACAAGACATTTAACACCGCAAAGCATTTTTGGCATGATCTAAGAAAGAATTTCAGAAACTGGGCTTTGTGCACAGGTATTACTTAAGAAGTGGTATAGTTTTTTGTTAATTTGTTTTAAAATACAACTTTACAGTTAACCTTTTGGATCATAACTTTTGGGAATAGGATCCCCAAATGTGTATTTTTAATCATCTTCCCATGATGATCAATATGGTCTAGACATGATCAACTCTCTTAGAATTATAAAGTGCCTGATATTTTGCTCTACTTGGAAACTAACACAATTTTATGGATACTGGCAGAAAACATGAGAACGCTGGGCCAGAAACAGCATATTTTTATTGCTCACCACAACAACCGTAGCCAAGAATACAAGATTTTCACTAATTTCCTAACCTAAACCCCTATTCCCATTACCTGATCCCAAGAGAATCAAATGATACTAGCAAACATAGTGGGGTATGTTACAGGAGAGGAATCTTGGATTTGAGAAACCAGAATCTCTTTTAACAGACAATAAGCACATCTGCCCTTTTCTTAAGATACAATCCCTATCTTCTTTGATGGTTCAATCTCTAAACATCCTTGAAAAACTAGTTAGAACAAAGGTCAACTGGATGCCTCTGATAACAAACATGAATAAAATGTGAGATGCCCATAGAGAACTTCCTATCCAAAAGAACCTAGGCCAGTTCCTTCATTTTAAGGATGAAGTAGCTGAGGTCCAGAAAACTAAAGGGCTTGGTGTTGCATGGTTGGATGGGGTGCAGACTAAAAGCCCATACTTGTTCTGGTTATGCCTTCCCATGCAAACATCTTTCTCTCTAGGTTGGATTGCTTAGAGTTAGCAAGCTGTTAGGAAAAACATAGTTGAACAGAAAGATTGACTGCATGAAGAGTAGTAATGACAAAATGCAAATGCAGAATGCAGGGCAAGAAAGAACTCCAGATGGAGGCGATGACAAATTCATCACAGTCGAAGCAGGCATTATATTTGGCTTGCAGCTATGATGAAATGGACTTGACACCAGTCTTCCATTTCAATTGAACTGGTAGTGTGGTCTTCGACTTTGTGAGCAAAAGAAAAGTATTTCAAGTTCCCTAACTATTGTCTTCAGCTGATATTCAGGTGCCTAATGGTTAAATTATGAAAGAGAGCGCTGATAGTTTTATAATTAATTTACTATAGATATTTTTAGTGTATATTAATAGACCAAGCAAAAGAAGTTTAATAAAAATCAACGTAAGTCACCAAAAATCTTTTCTCAAACAAAATATGTAATACATTTAATGAGTTATTAATTAGCTGGTCTAGAGATCAAGTATTAATATCTATAAAAAAGAGAAAAATGATGGCACAAAATGGAAAGCCATATATAACATTTCCCTTCAAATCAGTGTTACAGTCAAACTGTGTGTTCACTGATGTGTCAAATGCGTTAATGGTTACCCATGGTGGACAGTATTTGGTGGTGCTCCCTGGTTAAAACAAGCTTGGAAGCAGTAGGAGCATTCACATCTGTAAATAGCTTGCCTCCAGAAACCCTATGAACCTGGAGAGAGGATGAAAGTCACACAAGTGTTGAGGACTTTCCTTCATAGGGTCGCTATGAGTTGTCTACAACTTGACAGCACTAAACAACAACCACAACAACATATCTTGAAAGCAGTACAAGTACTTATGTGTGTACATACCATGATGGCACAACTTTAGTTTTAGTTGAGTTTCTTCCCCCACCCCAAAGATTCATTGCTCCCTGAATGTTAATACACATATAATTATGAAATGAGAACTACAAACTCATCTGTACATAGTTGGTCCTCTAGACTGAGTCCACGTTAAACGCAAAAGCAATCCTTGCAAAGTAAGAAATCACTTCATCTCATAGACCTTTTGAGGCCACTTATAGTCAATTCTTTCATGACTCTTAAGTCTGTGAATGCCAAAGTGTTTAAAAAGAGTATATATACAAAATATAAATGTCTGTATGCAAAATCTCTAACATACATGTGAGTAATTGCTATAACCTTCTGTCTCTCTTTCTATTCAAGAACACAGATGTTCCTGCAGAAGAGGAAATCGAACCTGCCCCGATCAGGAGGATTCTGAAATTCAATGCTCCGGAGTGGCCTTACATGCTAGTAGGGACCATGGGAGCTGCTGTCAATGGGGCCGTCACACCACTCTATGCCTTCTTATTCAGCGAGATTCTTGGGGTGAGAAGGCAGCTGGGCTAACTTTATCCCCCTCGTTCCTATCAGTATACATTGCCATTTGTGATAAGGTGGCTTTTTGTTTTAATGCTAGTGTTTTGGCTGGTGCTTGCTTTCTCACTTCTAAAAGAATAGACGTTCCTTGAGCTTCTATGACACAGAAAGTTAAGAAGAAAAGACTGATCACTCTTGTGTGGGCTGGCAGGGCACTCTGTCTTGATGCCTGTAAGAAAGTGATAAGATGACTGCACTTTTAGTGCTAGAAGGGACAATTTACCAATACGCAAACCAAATTATAATGCAGAGGAATGGTGTTGAATAATACAAAATGATTTTAAGGGTCGTCTTGATCTAGCTGAGTAACTGAAGTACAAACTTTCCCAGGTGTTTCTGAGTGATACAGAATTCTCTCTTCTACTGATTACAGAGTTGAGAATGGGCAGTGGTGGGGAGGGGAAGAGGAAGACAGAAGTAAAATACAGAGTGTGTGAAAAATAATTACTCCAATTTTTCATTTAGGAGTTTTTATAGGAGCCCTGGCAGTGCAGAGGTGCTTTGGATGCTAATAGAAAGGTTCATGGTTTGATCCCATCTAGTGGTTCTGCAGAATGTCTGATCTTCTGCTTCTATAAAGATTCAGTCTAGAAAACTCTATTGGTCAATTCTATTCTGTCATAAGAGGATGCTATGAGTTGAAAATCAACTCACTGGCACCTAACAACTGAAGTTTTCACAGTCTCTAATTGATTATATTGCTATGCAATTATAATAACTGAAGACACATATTAATTCTGTAAGTATGTCACATATAATGTAATTGTTGCTGTTCACTGTAATAATAGCTTATTTATATTTCCTAATATCCATTCAAGAATCAAGTAGGTATTCTTGTAATTTCTGTTTTACAAAGAGCAAACCCAAACCCTGGCTACTTAAGAAATTTGTTTAAGGTCACACATCTAGAACGTTATATAATTGCAATGTTAGTTATCAAATGCTGCCATTTTTTTTCTTAGTTGAAATTCACACAACTTGTGAGGTTAGCCAGAAAGGGAACTTAGAGCCTAGAGAACTCTATTCCACTTGTCACAACACAAAATGCTAAACACCTTGCTGTGATTCTGACTCATGGTGGCACTACATGTGACAAAGGACAGGTCCATAAGGTTTTCTTGTCTATGATCTACCCACAAGTTGCTCCATGGGAGAAAGATAGGCAGTCTCCTCCAGGACAACCTCCAGTCTGGGGCACCCAATGAAGGGTCGACTGGAGACAGTTCCTACTCAATAGGAATGGCAGTTATTTGTTGTTTTAAACCAGTTTTGATGGAAGCAGTTCATCAGGCCTTCATTTTTTAAATGGGACTGCTTGGCAGGTTCAAATCTTTTTTTTTTTTAGCAACTGAGTGACAACCACTTGGGTTTTCTGAAATATAAAATATTTGCCTCTATATCATATTATCAAATATGAGTAAAAATGCTTAAGCCATTGTTGATGTTTGTTGTGTGCCTTCAAGTTTACTGGGACTCATAGCAACCCATTGCACAGTAGCTCTGAAATCAGTCTCACTATCTCCAACACACCTACTCTCATCACCTCAGTTACTGTGTCAATTTACCCCATCTGGGGTCTTTCTCTACTGTGTTTGTCATTTTCCTTCACTTCTCTCTCTTTTGTGTCTCTTTGGTAGAAGTCCTAATCAGAAAGATATCCCCAGAGGCATGAGTTCCATAGAAAGACTGAGATTATTTATTGTAAATCAAGCAACTGTGTATAGAGGGCTCTGAGCAAGGCCTTCATGTTCTTTTTTTTT